TGGTGGTGGTGGTGGTGGTAGCAGTTGTTGTTGTTGGTGGTGGTGGTGGCGGTGGTTGTTGTTGTTGTTGTTGCTCAGAATCGCTCCATGCAGTGGGCTGAGCAATGGGTTCGGCATCATCCGCACGTGAAACACCGGTACTTTACAAGACAGCGGGCAATTCCAATTGGCATGGACGGTCCTACAAACAACTTGCTCAGGAATCCTGGCTAGGAGGTCGCAATCGACCACTTGGGAAAGAAAAGAAACAGGCAATGCTGCAGACGTTGCTTCGGAATCGTCATGCTCAACCTCTTCAACGCTAAGCTGACCTAAGCTTCAGCTGTAGATGACAGCACTGGTCTCCAGTGGAGCACCTTTGTGTTGCTCAGCCCAGAGCCCGACTGGGAGTGCAATTGTATGGAAATTCAATTACTTTCCAGAGACTTGATCCTTGACTGGCAATGCCATCATCTCACTTGCCAACGAACTCATCTGTGATTGCATCTGCTTGAACAGCTACCTTCAGTTCTTGAGTTGACAAGACCGTTTGCCCAATGCTCAATATATCCACTGTATTACATCCACGCAGACAGTATCGGAGCAATGCTCAGCACAATGTCAGATTCCTTGCAATCCGCTTCGCTCTCGGGCTCAATGTTTTCAGTGGGCCTTGCGATGTCATCAATGTGCATCACCCGTTGTAACCACCATCAAAGCCCTCCTCACACCCCTTTGGTCGGACTTCCGAAAAAGCTGTGTGTGTTTTCGCTAGCAGTGTACAAACAAAAAACATGACGCACGCATTCGCTTCCGCTTTCCATGTAAGAAGCGAAAAAGTCGAAACGTCTTTTCCTTCACAGGTCTTAACTCGAAATGTAAATTGTAGCAAGCGCGAGGGAGAAGCTGCATGCATTGGAGCTTTCAGCTGAAAAAACGAAAAATTAAATCGATCATCTTTGCAAAAACTAAGGTGAAAATACGAAAATATTTCCAACAAAACGAGAGGACAAGCCACACGCTGTGCTCTGCCGGATTTTTTAGGGTTTAGTTTATACGGGGACGAAATCAGTGTGAACAACAGTTTTTAGTGCAGTTTTCCAAATTTTGTGCGTACATCTGAGATGGTATTCCTTTCGGTAGGATCGCGAGGAACCGCAGCCATACTAGCTTTGAGGATGGACTGATCAGCAAGTGCTGACGATGGGACGATGCAGCATGTGTTCAATAGACCCTTTGCGAAGCTTGGCCCTCAGTTAGAGTTCAGGTGACGTCGCATGTTTCGAAGGATTGAATTGTGTTATCTGCACAAAGGTCTGGGCAACAAAGATATGGAGTGCCAGGCCATGCCGTGTGCTCCGGTACATCCACGAGTTGCTTTTTGATCCATAAATGGTTGAGTGCAAAGCTTATTGTCCGCAGCAGTATGTTGCATTGTTGTTTTTGGCCAAATTGCCACAAGCTCGAGGCTTGTAAAGAACCGCAACAAAAAAACACGTTTGAAAGTGCCACCTGCTATTCTGAATTAGAAGATTTACACAAGCAGAATTCGGAATACAGAACTTGCTCTTTTGGGAGATGTGGCCATGCCCGGTGCCAGCGCGGCAGGTTATGGCTCTGATGACGAGTCTGGTCCGGCGCCCCTTCCTTACGGCTACGGTGAGCTGCCCGGAGATCGGCCCACGCGGAAGCGTACTGCGGCAGAGGTTCGAGACTACGGAATTCAGCAGAGCTCTTACGGCCGTGCGAGCCAGCGGGCTGGCATCGATTTGCAGCAGCGGCCGACTGCAGCCGAGACGCGACCTCGTCCAAGTCTCCAATATCATAAAGCACTGCTGGAGCTCGTGAAGAAGTCAAGGATATCTAGGATGAAATCCGACTATGACATCTTAAAAGAAAACCATCAGTTCTTGCGTGGCAGTGAGGCGGACGACGTGTCGTGGGAGTCAAGGCTGGCACGCAGGTACTACGACCGATTGTTCAAAGAGTACGTGATCTGCGACTTGACTGGCTATCGCGACGGGCGAGTGGGCTTCCGTTGGCGGACAGAAACGGAAGTGCTAAATGGCCGAGGGCAGTTCAGCTGTGCTCATAAGCATTGCTCTGTCCGGAAGGAGCTGAAAAGCTACGAAGTTGACTTCGCATATGTCGAAGAGCGCCAGAAGCGAGCTTTGGTCAAAGTGCGGTTATGTCAGGATTGCGCCTTCAAGCTGCACTACCGGCGACTCAAGAAGGCACGGAAGCGGCGAAAGGAGGTGCAGGCCGTGTCGGGAACGGAGAAGCAATTGAGTCATGATCTTGATGCAGAAGACGGGATAGATGAAAGACAGCGAGACAAAGATGCAGCGGAAGAGGGGCAAAATGCAGCTCCCACGGATGGATCTCACTCTGTCGAAGCCCCAACAGCATCAGACCTTCGACTTCTTGAGACGTTGGCCTGGCAAGGCCCCGACCCGAACATTCGGAGTCGGGAGGATGACATCGACGACTTCCTACGTGATTTATTCCCTTAACCGCTCGAGCCGAGTCTCTGTCGCATTCAACTTCTTCGTGGCTGTCCCACTCCGTGAAGGTGACGCAGGCTTTCTGATCGACCGATTGTGCGACTTCGCTCCAGACAAGCACAAGTTCCGCGGCATCACAAAGCAGGCTTGCAAAGGTGCCAGTTTCAGCAACCTATTGGGCACGAGTTTCGTCGGGGGGCTGTTTGTAGAAGTTTAGCGTGGCAGCTATGCCTGCAACTGAAATCTTTCCCGCTTGGCAAATAGCTTTTGGTTCACTGGAGCCTGCCACATGTGCTTTTGCCGAAGCCCTCAAGTCACTTCTTTGCCAAACGATATGTTGCAGGAGGCAAGGTCCCGTTCGGCGGAGCAACGGCCTTGGTGCAGAGTCACAGCATTTGTTTTATTTCTTTACAGTGGACTGCTTTCTCGCACGATCACTATTGTTTGGGTTTGACTGGGATCTTCGTACGTTTTCGGGATTCGTGGGGTTCGGGAAAGGCTACTAAGGAGCAATGCAAAAGACTACGGAACTAAGTATGCAAAGTCGCAGAGTTCTCTGGTCCTGCAGCCCCAGCCAAGAGTCCCAAGCCCAAAGCCTCAACGCTTAAGAAGCCTGCACTCAGGCCATGCGACCCGGCGCAGCCCAGGACGGGAGCTGATTCTTACAGGCTGTGGGCTTTTTGGGCTTGAGATCTCCGAGTGGGGACATGGAGACATGGGACATCTTCGGGGTTCCGTGCGTGCGCCTTCGCTGCTTCGCCCAGCGGTTAGACCGTTTGTCGCCCTCTCACCTGGCCACTTCTGTGCACGATCGAGAAACGTTTTGATCAAATGACCGGGTATGAAAAGTTGACTCGGACGAGAATACAGCCTAGGACAGTGAGTCATTGTTGGTTTGAACACTTCTCTTGCTTTTGAATGCATGTTTTGACGCATAGGTTACAAGACCCCATAAGCTCTTTGAATTCGCAGCTTGTTTGCGGTACTGCAGCTGTTGGAGGCACCGTTGGGCGGTCGGGAAAGTTGATGGCATTTGTTAGAAATGAGGACGCTGAGAGCAAGGAGGGCGACGGGGTTGACCGGCCAGAGCTGCCGCCTTTGCCAGAGGCCGCGCACCCCGAAAGCGGATAAACCCCGAGAGCTATGTGCAGAGTGTTTCCGGCAGGTCATTCCTGCGGCAGCGTTGGCCCCTCAGAGCTTCTGTCTGAAGCATCATAGCTGTCATAGCTGATGTTGGTAATGAGCAGACGATGTCTGAGGCTCAACCCAGCGCCGATGGCCCGTCCGGGTGCCATCAACCCCAAGCATTTGGGGCAGGCCGGGATCTTTCCCTGTCTCCTTTCAGACACGTCGTTGCTAGTTGAAGGATAAGTCAGAGGTATCAAGTCCCGAAGTCAAGCCAGCTCGGAGGCACTTGCACAGGCATTGGCGCAGAAGAACGCTGAGAAGGCCAGGAAAGATCTGCCACAATCCATATGCAGCTCACGCCTGGGCACAATTCCTGTTACCGAAGTCAACCAGAGAAATGGAAGAGCCCGGGCTTGATGAGAGGAGCGGCAGAAGAAGGGCATGGGTGCGGTCGGCACGATGCCCCTCCAGCCCACAGGAGCAGTTTCGTCACCCGGCATGACTGGAATGGTGAGTATAGAGTATAGAGGCTGAAGGCATTCTGCTCCTGCGCAGCTTCTCAAAAAATGCAGTAAGAACGGACTGCCTCGGAGTCCTGCGATCTGTGCGATTTTGGGTTAGGTCGCTAGGGCCGCGTTTCTAAGGAAGGATGAATCCAAGACGAGTCCTGCCGGAGCGAGACCTGCCGGGCCTGCGGTCCCTGCGCGGCGGCCCCAGTATGCTTTCGAAAGGCCTATGCCCGTCCTAGCTAAATCGTCCGAAGTCCTCGACGTTACAAAAAGATGGTATCCGGGGCCGCGGTCGAAGTGTCATAGGCCAGAAACTCAAAGACCCCGTCTCCACGGGAATGCACGACGAGGGCGAAATGGATGATGGAGGGGCGGCCTAGTAAAGCTGTTCGGGGATAGGCTTCTTTCGAATGCAGGGGCTGGTAAGGCATGGTTTGCTGATGTTTGTGTTGCTGGATTTGCAATGGGAGCTGTGTTCAGTAGTCCAGATCATGGGCAGGCGCTGCTGAAATCAGCCTTTGACGCATTAGCTAGCCTCCTATCAAGGAGCAGGAGCAGTCGTCCTTTGTTCTCACAGCATGCTGACAGTTTAAGGAAAACTCCGGTCGTGGTACCGCCACGGGTACGGGACGTACCGAAGCAGCCGGAGCTCGTGTCTCCGAAGGCACTCTTGGCACTCTTAGACTCTGTGCACCTCGCTGAATTCGAGTGCTCCGTTCTAGTTCGCCTGTCTTTTTCTGAGATGCCAACATTGAGCTAGGCGGGACACTCGGCGGCGATAAGGCCGCCCAACGTCCATGTCCAGGCTCATTGGGAGCTTTTGGGCACGCCTCTGCCTTGTGTCTGCACTCATGGCATTGAAGCATCCCACAATCAGCAAGCGACTGTCGAGCAACCAGAGCAGTTTTGGCCCTTGCTTCCGGTTTTACGGCCGCAGCGTTCCGTGCCATCATGGCAGTTTGGCAGGCCTGCAGTGTAGGGTTGTCGGAAGTTCAACCCATCGGGCGGGCAATGCTCAAACACACGCACGCATACCATTGCATGTGTGAAAACGTTTTGCTTCCTTTCCTGCATTCACGGCTCCTCCAGGCGCAGATGAAGCAGGATTGGCAGGGTGGTGGTGGTGGTGGTGGCGGCGGGAAGGCAAGGACAGAGCCAGTCACTGGGCAAAGGGTGTAGTCATCGGCCTCTCTTGCCAGGGCTGGGGCTTCGGAGGGAAAAGCCCCATGCGACTCGGCACAGCGAGTGGCACTAACAGCCAAATTATGTAAAGATGCATAGAAACATTTGCTGCATGCTCAGAGTTTAGAGTTCCCTAGTTCTGATCGCTGCCTGCTTCCAAGGGCCATGATGGCAGCCTTCATGAAGGGTCGCTCCCCTAGATGCTCTAGATGAGAAGCACAGACCCCTTCAGCCATGGTCCTTTGAGCAAGAGTGCATGCTGTCTGTAAGGCATGAAGGGCAAAGGCAAAGGCAAGAACCCAAACCGTGGCAAAGGCCACACATTGCCCAGAGTCCCCTCCTCAGTGGGTGCATGAGATCCGATACATAAACTTGGGAGCATGATTCAAGTCATGCGGACACAAGGAGAGAATTTCCGAAACACCAATGATCGGAGAGGTGATTGAGTGGAAGGGCAAGCACCTAGCCCGAGATATGAGTCTCGGGGACTGTCCAACCACACTGTTGCATGGAGTGCGCACGAGCGTTGTTTTACAAAAGCGCTAGTGTCCAAGGTACGGATGGCTCAAGCCACAGGAGCCCATTCAGCATGAGAAGGCCCGCCCGCAGTAAGCCAAGCGAGACACGCTTAGAGATTTGTCGACGGGCCGTGCGTCTGGTGTTGCACTGCCTGCTGTTGTTGTACTGTCTTCTCCCGCCCTCGACCTTCTGTGTTCCGGCTCCGCTCAAGGCGTCGAGACACGGCGGAAAGATCTTTGCCAGCGTAGTGCCCTAGCCGCTGACGGAGCACACATGTCCGACAATGCTATCCTTTCTTGCCTTTTCCCCGTAGCTCTCTCCGCATCCACAGCTGGAGCATCCCTTTCTTGACATCTTAGGCTGATCTCGTCGGGGTGACAGAGCTGACGGTGGGCCGGCTCGTCCAGTTCCACCTGTACCTTGGGCTAAGCTCAGCATGTTGGGATGTTGGACACTCCCCATGACTCCCATGTGCGTGCTGTGCTTTGCAAGGTTTTCGGACCAGTCTGGCCTGGGTGCGGAAGAGATCTTGCAAGCCTGATGCTGGGCGGTTTCTGCTTCACTCTTGAGAGAGCTCCTCGGATCTGTCGACAGCTGCAAACATGGAGGACGATAAATCCTGGTTCCTCTCGAAAGACCTTTCTCTATACGGGCCTAAATGCGAGAAAGAGACAGGGAAAGCTGCCGTGACCTACACGTCAGGCAAGAGAGCATGGGTGCAGAGTGGGAAAATGTGTCCTCTGCTGTTTCGAAGTTCGCGAGACGAAGCAGATTCACGCTTCTAGCACACTTGTTAGCAGGTTCCCGTGCCACAACGCCGTGGCGTGTCGATGATCCCACCGAAGGGCAGGCCCCAACCGCTCGGGCAGGATTGGCTGAATCGTCATCCTCTTCTGCCGTGGTTGGGCTCCGAGAAAAGGCTTCTGCCGTGAAATTAGACTATTCACAGGCTTAGAAATGATATCCGGGTTTGGGTCTCAGCACATGGCTCAGGGATGCCGAGTTCATCGCTTTGGGCTTCTCAGGAGCAGCTGTCTGTCTGGATTTCCAGAGCAGGTTCAGGGTAGAGCGCTCAGCCACAGGGTGTAGGTTCAAAGCTGCCTGTGGCTCCTGTGACAGTCCACCGCCGGTGCCGGGACCTATCCCGCATTCGCCTGGCAAGGCGGGCAGCTTTAGAGTCAGAGGGTTCCTACGGCAAGCCCAAGGAGGGCGTTGGCGCTGCTTTCGCGTGGTGAACTGTGCCCTCCCTGTGCTCTCTTGAAAGTCTGCTGCCTGGGAGTCTGTGGCCGCACCTACCGCGAACAGAAATGCTGGGGGATTTGGATGTAGAGGAACAAATGCATGTTGAGCAGTGGGGCGGGGGGCGGGGCGGCGCGGAGGCGCGGGAACGGATCATGGAGACATGATGGGCAGCAGTGGCACTTGTCGCTGCAAGGCATATGCGGACGCGACTACGGCCGAGGCGCTAGCAGTAGCAGCAGCGCCTTGCATGCAAAGAAGGGCCTTCGTGTCGGAACCTGTCGGAGGAAGTGTGTTTCGCAACTTGCTGCTTGCCGGCTCTGGTCAGCCGCAAAGATGAGGGCTTGAGTCGTATGAATCCATCCGAGGCATACAGTCAAGCAACTGCTGCCACGTCTCCAGCTTTAGCAGCGGCGTGGATGCACGAATAGGAACTTGTGTTGTCGGTCTGCAGTTGCATTACGCCAGCAAGTCGTGCCTGTTGCGCTTGCTCGAGCACTGTGGCAGTGCCGCTGCACCAGGGAAAAGGTTGAATTATTGTTAGATACTCGAATGTGACATAATTTGACATCACACCTGTCAGCTGAAAGGCATACGCCGATGCGGCCGCGGCTGAAGCATTAGCAGCAGAGCCTTGTGTGCAGGGAGCGTTCCATGCTTGTTTCATGACCGGTTGTGCCATCGAAGGCGGATTCGAGCTGCTGTGCTGAAGATTCGTTTTGTGTTCAACCTCGGAAAGTACCGAGTTTCCAACGGTTTCCATGACCCAGGCATACAGGGAGGCGGCTGTGGCCAACGCAGCTCCGGCATTGGCAGCGGCGGCTCGGATCTCGTACTACCGCTGCTGATCTCCCCATTCCACTTGAACCTCCTACGACTACCACCGCCACCACCGCCACCACTGGGACTCCATGGGTCGCGATCTATTGACGTGGGTTCTCGTGCTCTGCTTCTCAGTAGGTATGTATCACCAGAAGCTTGACTTTTGATTCTCAAGGCTCTCCTTCGATATGAAGGTCCCGTAGACATCCATAGAAGCACGTCTGAAGCTCTCCAAAACTTGACAAGATTCGAAGGTTCTGATTAAGAACGTGATCCTGCCGTTAGCGTCCAGCCTGCAAGTGTCGTGAACTACTCAGAGGCCTTTGCAGGCCGAAAAGTCGCTTTCTGGCGGCTTGTCGCGGAGACACATTCCCGAGCTGTTATTTTTCTGTTGTTTTGCAGCAATCGCCGAATGCATTTGGGCATTATCTGATGCATTGCTACGCGGAGTCAGTTCTAAGTTCTAAGGCATACACGGAGGCAGCCACGGCTGAGGCACTGGCAGCAGCAACTTGAATGTGAATAATCACGTGCAAACGACGGCGAGCAGTAATTACGTGGGCAAGCATGTGCCTCTAGTTTGGTGGGGTGAACATGCGAATACAGCTTCTGCTCAAGGTGTCATGTCTCAGAAGCAATCGGCGGCCTAACGCATGGCATGGCAGTCGCTTCTAGAGACATGCAGCTTGTGAACTAAGTGAGGCATACAGGGAAGCAGCCGCGGCAAATGCAGCTCCTGCATTGGCTGCCGCTTGGAAGCAATTTTTGTGCTGGTTCTTCGTAAGTGCAATTCAAAAGCAAGGAGCTTCAGGGCATTGTTCCGTTCAACACACCGTCTAAGTCGAAGCCTCCATGTCCCGGTTTCTGCATCTGTGAGGCTTATACGGAGGCAGCGACTGCCGAGGCATTAGCAGCGGTGCCTTGCTCGCAAGAGCCCAGCTTGTATCATGTTGGAAGAGCTGCTTCATGGTTAGTGATGTGTGTAGCGTCGATGCCTACTTTCAAGTGCAGTGGGACGTTCTCGTCTTGAGCACTGTCTTCTCCATTAAAGGCAAGCAAGAAGCCATGACACTGCCAATCAGGCATATGCAGATGCAGCGAATGCTGAGGCATTAGCTGCGGTGCCTTGTCGGTGTATACTTCTTGTCAGTCCGGAACATGGACTGCCAAGTCGTACACTTCTGAGGAAAGGACGCGGCGTTGTGCAGCAAAGTGTTTGACGCCATCCAAGGCGTACCGGGAGGCGGCTGCGAATGCAGCTCCGTCTGTAGCCGTGGCGTGGTTGCAGCGTAAGTTTGAGATTGAGCCTCTCATCAAGTTCATGCTTCGGTTCTAGATTCTGCAAACCGGACCTTTGGCAGAGTCGGTGGAGGGCAGCTTTTCACCATGTGCATAGTCGCGGACTCAAAAACTTGTCTGACGAGGCGTACAATCGGGCTACTGCAGCAAATGCAGCTCCGCAAATGGCCGGGGGGCCAAGATGCACCATGCAGCTTCTGGAACTGGTAGCTTCACGTTATTTCCGAATCAAGTCACTACAATGTACACCATTTTCTTTTTGAGTTCAAGGGCTTTGTAGGTTGTGTCTCGAAAGTTTTTCCTTTGTTTTCAGTGATGTTGGCAGACAGAGGACAACCGATAAGTCAGATCCAGCAGAGGTCACACTGTACGCGACAACGTCTTGTGGCTGTGAGGCGGATTTGCAGGCAGCGACAAATGAGGCATTGGTAGCAGTGCCTTGCATGCAAAGGTTGTCTCTGCTGGAGGATGCTGCGCTTTAGGAGGTTTCGACAACGTTTCAGCATCTTTGGGGTGCTGTTGACAGTGGTTCGGTACCTTCACCTCGCAGCGACACAGATACATGCGGGCGCAATTGCCTGTAGCTTCGTTGTTACAGCACTACTGGCGCTTCGGGAAAGCTGATATTTGTTGACAGCCACACCATGCCACACCCCGGAGACAGGGTGACATGCTGGAAGGGACCCTGAGTAAACTCAGTGCAGGCCACGGTGTATCTGCCCATCTGTTGTTGCTCTAAGGCCTACACGGAGGCAGCAACAAACGAGGCATTGGCAGCAGTGCCTTGCATGCAATCATAGATTGTCTTTGTTGAAAGCAGGGGGCATTTTTGGCGATGGTCCGGCATATGCTTGTCAGTAGTTTTCCTTCCTCATGCCTGCTCGATCGAAAGTCGAAAGGGAAGCGCTGCAGCAGGCACATTCCGAACCCATGTCTTACGCACATGAGCAGCAGAAGCTGAAGCTACAGAGTTGCAGCTGTGCAAGGCATACACGGAGGCAGCCGCAGCAAATGCAGCTCCACAGGCGACAGCAGTGGCACAGATGCATTCAGCCGGGTGGGCCCACGGCTGTGGCAGGGAAGTGAATACCACGTCGGATCTCCAGGTTTTGCAGTAGAGTTTGGACGGATTGGCATCGGAGCAGGCCACAGAACCGAGATTCGAGAATCTTCATCTTGCGGTGCTACAAGGCATACAGTGATGCAGCAATGACGGAAGCGCTAGCAGCAGTGCCTCGGATGCAAATGTCGTTTTCAGCAGACGAGAATGCCGAAGGTGTTTGAACATGTTTGACTGTTTTTCAACTGGAGGTTGGGCTTTACGTGTCGTCATGTTTCGTTGTCAGTGCCAACGTGTGCGGGAGACAGCAATAGACAGCATTCGTCGTCTGTGTATGCCAGACAGTGAAGCCAAGGCCGTCGCAGCAGTGCCCCAGATGCAAGAGTCTTTTCTCCGGATCAGCTTGCACATGCACGTGCCCTTTGCTACAAGGCGTATGCAGATGCAGCCGCTCCGGCAGCAGCGGCTCGGCATTGGGGTAGCTGAGCCGATGAAGGCAAGGCATTCCTGCAGCTTGTGCTGAGGCTGCGACGGCCAGTGCAGTGCCTGCAGCGGACATAGCCGCAAAAGAGGTCGGTCCTGCAAATGCGTCGTATTTTGACAGCAACTTTCTTGCTGCTCAGATTGGAGGACTCCGAGACCTGCACCTGCGATTTGCAAAACCTGTTGCTGCAGGCTCCAGGTGCTACGGCGAGCGAGCTTCAGCAGCTTCCTCCGATGATTGTGGTCGCTCGGGTACAATGTCTCTGATCTGCGAACGGCATCGTTGCAGCATGTTGGCCCCTGTTTTCAGGCAGACGCAGCTGCGCCTCCTCCTCCGGCTCCTCCTCCGGCTCCTCCTCCGGCCGCTCCCGAGCTTCGTGCTCTTCCTGGCCTTTCTGCGAGCGGAAGCGCCGCTGCCGGGATGCCCGCCGACGCTGAGATGCTAGAGTCTGCTAGAGTGCTTCCTTGTGCGACGCGGGACTCCTAACGTTCAGCGCTGAACTTCCCACACGTGCACGATCAGCTCAGGAGGCTCCCTGGCGGTTGCAGAAGGACATTGTCCCGGGATACTCGGGTTGATGTGAAAGGTTTCATAGAGGCATATCCTGTGTCGCTCATGAATGGTCGAATCGCCCAAGCTCAGGGTACGCATATTTGGGTATGATCATATTTGGTAGACGGCCGCATCGACATCTCGGAAGCCAAAGTGCCGGCAACCCCTTTTTTTGCAGGAGCCGGGCTCTGGAGGTGCTCCGGCGAATTCGGCTCCGCCTTTGCCTGCACCTGCGACTGCGCCGGTGGCCGCACAGACACCCGTGCCCTCTGTGCCGACTTCGGTGCCGCCTAAACCCGAGGCACGCTGAGTGAGGAGCCAATCACTGGAGAGATTGCTAGTGCAGCAGGGGGGATCACTCACACAAGATTAGCTCAGGGAAGGCGGCCTAAGTGAACGATTGCAGGCGTATCCCAATCTCAAGCCCCTGCCATCCACATCCTGAACCTCCTCATGCTGACTTCTCTGCTTTTGGACGAGTCTGCTGCAGGAAGCTCTCCGAAGAGGTCAAGGCAGGAGTCCGAGTCCGAAACAGGGCGTCCTGAGGGCTCCGAGAAAGCAGAGGTTTGTCATCTTTGCAGTTGGGCTTGTGGAGTCCGTAACCTGAGAACCTTTCAGAAGGTGTAAACAAACGCAGTTCCGCCAACAGCAGAGTTTCGGTCTCGGCTAGGCGTAGAGGCAGCGGAGCCTTGGTTGCAGAAGCCTCTTTTTGCGAGAGTGGGAGTTTGGGATGCGGCCGGATACCATGGAAACAGCGCTGACGGCTTTGCGGCCTGTCGACCTCCGCTGCCTCCGCTTGAGCTGAGGAAGCCGCAGTGGCACGTCCCAAGCTTGGCAGTCCAGGCATCTCGCCTGTTTTGTCGAAGTCCGATTCAAGCTGAGGTGCCAGGCAGCCCGAGAAGCAAGAGAGCCGCTCGGCAGCTCATATAACGCTCGCTGCCTGGAGTGGAAGGACGCGTTTCAAGCCTTCTCGCCCAGGACGGAAAGCGGAGTCAGCTTATGCGGCACTGGAGGCTTTCAGCCGGAAGGACTCAACTCATGGGAACATGGTAAAGTTCTGGTAAAGTAGAGGCAGCCAGGAAGCCGGCAGCCCCAAGCAAAAACCCACATCTCAAAACAAAAACCCAGAGGCATGCCACGGGACCGTGGCTGTGCCTCTGAAAACCCTTTACAACACTGCAGTTGGGGAAGGAATCGGTGAGAACCGGCGCAGCGCCGGCGAAGCCACCAGGCAGTCTCACTGGCAACGAGAATCAGTCTCAACTCCACGTGCACTTGGCAGGTGCCGCCAAGGCTGCCGAAGCTCCAGCCGGAGCCCAGGACGAACCGCTCACAAGCAGTGCAGAGCGGTCGTTCCGGATTCCGGTCACAGCACAGGTGCGTTGAGGTGGACGAGACTGCTTGCTTTCAGGTTTCGTAGATTGGGACAAGTCGGCACGCTCCGAGTGCCGAGGCCGCACGCGTACCAAGAATAGCGGAGTCAAAGCTGGAGGCGAAGGCTACCATGTTCAGTCCTGTCAGTGGTGGGGCTGAAGACCATGCCCATCCATGCACCATCCTGCGTCGAATTTTTCGTGACATCTTCGATGCCTTCGGTCCTGCGGAGGAGGGAGCATGAGGAAGCGTAGTGAGTGGGCTGCTGGCAGGCCGTCGAAACGAAGCCGGCCGCGCCTCCTCCAGCCGCCTCCTCGGTCCCGTGCTCGTCACCAAAGGCAAAGGCAGTGTTCGACTAGCATGCAGCAGATGCAGCAGATCCCGCCATGCAGGAGGTTGACGCATTTTCTATGAGCCGGCCTGGCTGCCTGATTTGCCCCAGCCCGATTCGATCGAACGAGGCTCGAAAAGAGCTGCCCGACGTGGTGGCCACGACCTCGGGGACAGTGTTCTGAGAAGTGCTTCCCAGGATTGTTATAGACTGTGGCGCTTTGTGACCAGGTCCTGGCCTCCACGCCGGTGACGGATACCCCGGTGTCCGACACCCCGGTGACCGACACCCCGGTCACCACTCTGCCTGTCTCCTCGCCCCAGGCCAAGCCTGAGGCACCTGCAGGGTCCAGGGACTCTGTCGCCCGGCTCTTTTTGAGCCGAGTCACACGCGGCAGGTCGTCGAAAGCAAGCCGGCCAAAGCAGCGCCGGCGAAGGCGGGGGGTCCCTCCTGGAGTCCAGTGCCGACACTCCTGCGTTTCTGAAGCTCAAGGCTCAGAAAGAGCCCCTTGATGTGACGGCGCGGAACTCGGACAGCTAAGCTGAATTGCTGCCGAGACGCATCGTCCGCCTCTTGCTTGTTGAGGTCGTGACGTCTACTCCGGTGACGACCACGCCAATTAGCAGTGCTCCAGCGGCGTCGGCTTTTGCCAAACCCGAGGCACCTTGCCATACCTCGCACCAGTGGTGATGACGTTCTGACAGCATGTCACAAGAGCTCAAGACACTCGACGGGCGTTGTGCCCGCAATTCCCGACACTGCATGCAGAATTGCGTTCTGTCATAGTTTGTCACTGTCAGGTGAAGACCGCTCCGTTGGGGACGCACAAGGTGGCCGCAACTGGGATCAGCACAAGCCTGTAAAGTTTTGGAACACTTTGTGACTTTGTTTGTCTCTTCAAGTGATGTGCCTTCGGCAGCCGCTCTATTGCTTGATTTGCTTCAGGAAGCTTGCATGTGAGCTGATGCTGGATTTGAGGGTGGGCCGATCTGTATACCGCACCCCATGAATGCACAGCTTCTGTAAGCTTTTTAGGAGGCTCCTCCTTTATCCCTATCTTCCCTTCGGAACAGGTGCCTGTCCAGTCGTCGGTGGCAGCGGCCGGGCTTCGGACGGTCTCGGAGTTCTGGGACATTCGGGTGAGTTTGTGGTTACAACTGTGGCCAGCATGAGCCCACAAAGACATGCTTGTTCTGCTCCAGCTGTGTAACTGTATCCTGTGCTACAGCGATTGGAGCTCATAGAGCCAAGCGCTATCCTGGCTCCAGCATCGCAGGCCAAGCGCCCTGGACCCCGAGCTCTACCACAGCCGAAATCGGTTCCGGTATCGGAGCTAAAGGCGGGCGCCAGCTTCGCCGGGTCGGGGTACGACCTCCACAAGTGCTTCCTTTCAGATGTTCAGCCGGATGCGCGACCCTTGCAACCCACAGCAGCGTTTTGAAGGTCACGGCCGCCTCTCCACCTGCCAAGGTGGAGGCACATCGCGCGGCATGCATTTCAGAAGCTCTCAAAACCATTCAGCAACGAACGCCCTGAAAGCCTCAACGCCCAATGGCAGCTACTTCATCCTCCCACATCGTAGCTTTCCGATTGGCCAGGCAAAGTTGTCGGCTCCTGCTGCCAAGGCATGACAAGTGAAGGCAGTACAGGTGTACCGTGGTTTGCCGGTTCTGGGCTACTGGTCGAATGCATCCCATGCCTACGGCAGGTTCTGCCCATTCACCATCTGCCCAGAATTCTGGGACACGAAACCCTTCCAGAACCTACAGGATCCTGTCCTCTCTGGATGAAGGCTCCTACCGCCCGTCGGCGCTTGGAGGATCCTGGCCAGGTGGTTGGGCACCGTGTTTTTTGCCATGTTTGGGTTCTTCGGATCGAGGCCCAATTCAATCACTGGAACAAGCATCGCCAATAGCTTCTTTTTAAGATGCTCCCGGCCGAAGAAGAGGAGGCCTGCTTATATTCCCGCGAAACCGCACGCCCTAAGTCCTAAACCTGCGATGATGTGGAGCTGCAAGGTAGTCGCCGGCATCACGGTTTAGGGTTTAGGGTCTAGGGTTTAGCTATCGCGCAGAATATGTGGTCCGAAGACAAAGCAGTTTTGCGTGCATTGCACAACCTTCGGCGCCCAAACTCTGAGCCCGAGATCTGAGAACCGGACACCGTAAAAGGCACCGCCGAAGCGGATCTTCGATTGGAGCCTGCTGGCCAGCCGCCCTCTGTTTTTGTGCTTCCGGGCGCCGTGCGAAGACTCAAAGGGGCTCATAAGGTTCTTTGGAGCCATACTGGAGCTTTCCTTACACTGGGAATCGGGTGTTGTTTGCAGTGATCGCAGGTCTTCGGGGTTGACTCGGATCTCGGACTGCAGCCGTTGACATGACCGAGCTGCAGGCCAAGATCGACTCGCTCTTGCTGGGGGCAGAGTCCAGCTTTTTCCTACACCGCCGAGGTGCCGGGATGAGTCATTTGACATATCAAGTTGTGTAGCAAGGCAGAGTGCAAGTGCAAAGAACTCTCGCGAAGATCTGGGAGGGTTTCCTAAACATCGGTAACTTGTCGTGTTGCAATTGGACAACGGACTGCTACTGGTTTGTCCGTCTGGCTGCCCGTCAGTCCGTCTGTCTCGCTGTTCCTGTGCGCATATGGCATTCAGCAGGCCCGTACTGTCGCCAAGTGCACTATGCTGTGTAGCCAGAAGATGGAGTCATCATGCAGAGCACCAGCCCCTCAGTGCTTGCCTCGAAGCGACTGCCACAGACGATGGGCTTCGGCTTCCGGGATACGAGCCGGAGAACCTCGAAAGTAGCGGAGACGCGGTAGCACCTCAGTGCCGATCCGATCCGTGAAGAGTTACAAGCTCCTGCTCAAAGCCGAGGATCTGAAGAAGATGAGGCTCAGACTGGATGCTTGTGACTTTTCGTGCAGAGGCTGCATGTCGGCCTCAAGATATCAGCCAGAGTCATCAGACGTGGTACGTACATTGAATCGGTGGTTGTTGCTCCGAACATCGGTCCAAGGCATTCCCCCTTGCATGAATCATCACAGCAGCTGTGCCGAGTAGCCAAAAGGGGTAGGACGCAGGGTGGAAGGAGCTTCAGCACTTTAGGGGTTTCAGGGTGGGCTCGGGCGTTTTGGTTTTCAGTTCCGGTACTGCCAAGCTTCGCGGACTAAAAAACCTCTACAGCCAACGACTTCCTGTTGCAGGAGGAAGCATGTGAGAGCGACGAGTCCGAGGATGGCATCAGTGAGGCTGAAGGCTACGTGTCGGCCAAAGCCATGCCCCCGTGTGCCAGGAGTCAGACACCGCAAAGATTCTGGCAGCGCCAGGCGAGGCTCTTTTTAAGCAGGTGGAGGATTCGTTGGTTTGTCAGATTGTCTTCCATGCTGTGCAGGGCCGACAGATGCGGACTTGCAAGACGAAGAAGAGGAGGAGTTCGAGGAGGAAGAGGAGGAAGAGCTAGAGGACCCCGTGTGATCTTAATGTTGCACTCCAGGAAGGTGCCGAGCAGCAACTGAATGTGTGCTACATATGCTGCTTACCCTCACAGGAAGATGACGTTGTGGAGGAGGACGGGAATGTGTGGGATTGAAGCCGAGAGAGTTGTAACGAGACGTTTTGCAGTTGGGCTTTTTCTCGATCGAGGATGTGCCTGTTCTTTGCAGTATGCGGAGCATTTGCACCATTCTGCATGCTTCACGATGTGTGTTCTAGCTTGACCAGCCGAGACTCTGCGCCAGGTGGACAAAAACGATGCCATGGCTGCCGTGGTTGCTACCACCCGGCCAGAGCCGAAGCAAGCACTGAAGCGCTTGAAGCTCCCAAGCATGCAAACAACGACCGTACCAGATCATGTTGGAGATGAACATCAGAGTACGTGAGCACATTGCAGAACTCTAGGTCCTAGGTCCGAGGATGTCACGACAACGGGGGATGCCCACGCATTTTGCACATCCCCCCTGTCAGGCCGAAGGCCAAGATGCCGCCCCCGCCACCAAGCCGAGAGGCGGGTCAGCTGCGACAGACGCTGATTTGGTTGGGATGTCTTGGATTGTGAAATCGTTTTCGTGCAGCCTGTGACAAGGGACATGTGACATGTTGCTTGTGTGGCTGGTGAGCCACGGTCGCTTTGTTCATGAGCTGCATGGCTGAGCGGCATCAGTTTGTTCCGGTCGTTAATGTCCTGCTCGTTTTGCTGCTCCATGTACAATTGAAGTATGTCGATCTACATATGACATGATTCGCAAAGCCAGGTTCCGCAAAAGTCTTGCTGGCGTAAAGCTCACAGGAGAACCCGAAACGCACGGAAGTAGCGCCCGCGAGTTGCACGAAAGCTTTCGGTGCTCTGTGTGCATGCCGCTCTTGCACGTACTTTCGTCCGTCAGGTGTCCGAGCCGAAGGCACGATAGAGCTGTTGAGTGCACATGAATGTTCATGCATTGTTGGGGCGGCTTAAACTTGGAATGCGGATGGTACCCACGCGAGTGTTTTCCTGCACTTTCCTGCGCTTTGACTCGGTATTTGCGATGTTTGTGCTGTTTGGGACCCCTGTGCTTTTTGGAGTGCTTTCACGCGTTATCAGTTTTATCGGTACTTAATAGGATTCCTGCATGTTATTAGCCTACCACTCGGTACTTACGATGTTTCCTGCAGCTAGCTTGTGACACGTCATTGAGTCGGTCGTCTTCCTGCAGCAACTTTTGATTTCCTTCGACCGCGCATGTCGGTTGTTCTGGGTTTGGGGCGGGGTGGGGGGGGGGTGGGTGGTGATTCTTCCTAGGTTGAAACCGTTCCACAGACGTGAACGGTCGTGGACCAGCCACTGCCACCACCAGCGCCACCACCACTACCGGCAACGGCAACAACCAGACGCTGCTATGATTAAGATGATGATGCCGGTGATGATGGTGACGACTGTTCATGGCTGATGATGATTGATGACGACTTACAGCAACGAATACTGAAAGGCCGTGCAAGGAAAAAGGGATCCATGTCTAAGTCCGGAAACCACACGCCTGCTGAATGCCTCCTGTCACGTGGCCGGCCGATGCGTTGTGTTGCTGCCTTCTCAAATTGGGATCCCGAGATTCGTTGTGTGACTCTGACACAGGCTCCGGCACTGTCCACCAGGGCCAAGCCGCCACCACTTCCCCGGGAGGCCACTGCCACAGAGACCTTCAACTCAGCAATTCAGCAAATCCAGTTCTGCATTGTTCAGTCTCCGGTCCCCTACAACCGAAAATGCCTGGAGCTGTAAGCCTGAAAGCCCTTCTCTTCTGTCAGCGCCGGCCGAAGCTGGGTGAGCGGCGGGATCAGGAGCTGGAGGCAGTCAAGAGATGTTTCTTGTTTTCTGGCCTGGAGCCGTGAGAGAGTGGTCGCGGTTCCGGGCATTTGACCCCAAACACACACAGGAGCCGCCAGCTGCTGCTCCCGAAGTGGAGTCCAAGGCGGAGGCGGGCTGCCCTGGCCTTGGAATCGCAGTTCTAGTTCTGGGAAGTCGGAGTCTCTGGCGCATCGCAGGAGGAGGAGGCTGCGCACGAGGAGGCCTCTCTGCAGCTCTGCAGCTCGAGATAACAAGTACAGAAACTCCAAGCTCCCACGATCCGATAGAGCCCTGGTCCCCAGCAGCTGCAGCACCGGAAGCCCTGTCTGTTTGTTGTTTCAGGATGAGGATTTCAACGATGAGGAGATGATGGCCACGTTTGCTGCGAAGCTCCAGGACGGCTATGGCTCTCTTGGGACAAAGAATGCACAGGTTTGTTGCAGGAGTTCTGCACATGAGAAATTACAACGAAGTCGGAGAAGTTCATACGCATCCACACACACACACACCCACATCCGTGCACACACACACACACACACACATGCAGCCAAACATGAAGAATAGACAAACAGGTGGATGGATGGACAGATTGAAAGAGGAATCGATAGATGGATCCATGGATAGATGGATACGCTGGGTACGTCCAGGGATAGCTGGATTGACAAATGCTTCGAGAGATCATGTACATGGATGCATTCCCGCCCCTGCCTGCCGGCGTGCCTATCTGCTTGCGTGCATAAGCTTGCACATGCATGCATGCTTGCATGCATCTCAGCAGTTATGTAATAGCTATGTGCGTATGTCTGTGTGTAAACTTACACATCCAGATTCGGCATTTATGTTTTTCATTGTTCCGGTTCCATATCGGTACTTTTGCTCGATACCGTCGCACTTGCCCGAGCACACGGCCGATATTTAACTTTTCATCGGGGACTCTGACACACGCTTTCGCACAGGATGCACAGATCTGCAGACAGTGGTTGGTCCATCGAAAGCAGGTGAAGCCACCACTCAACATTTCCACTGTTGGGTTCTTCTCAAGGAGCCCACGGAAGCTGCGGCGCCGCCCCTGGATGCGCGGAGACGCCAGGGGCCGAGTTCAGCACGAATGGAATCAGATGGAGACCATCGAGAAAACCCCTTGCAGCTGTCAAGACGAGCCCGATTTCGCGATGTCTGAGGCCCTGTAGGTTCTCGAAGCGAGCAGGACGGGGGGTGGGCTTGTTCCCAAACGATGTTCCGGTTTGGGAACACCTGGTTTCTGCGTCCAGCCAGCGGACACGTCTGCTCTTCATGACAACGCAGTTGTACATGACGTTGTGGGTCGTAAATATACTGCGGGGCTCTGCGAAGCGCGAGTCCAGAACATGATGTAGTTATGCGCCTTGAAACGACCAGTGATCAGGACTCCGACCAGAAGCCTGCAAACATCGCCACAAGAGCGAAGGTCTCTCAAAAGTGTGTTGGTTCACTTAACGTCATCTCGCGATTCGTATCGTTGACGGCTGCTGGGTGATGTGTCATAGCCTCCCAAGTTCCAAGAAGCCTGGACCAGGCAAAGCCGAAACCTAAAGCGTGGGGGTTGCCGCCACCGCTTTCGGGCAAGAAGAAGGCCAAGGAGGCAGGTCGCTGCACTCCCTTCGTCTGTCCAGACTGTGAGTTTCAAGCCTGTTTCAGGCACGATCCCAACCTGAAAGCTGAAACAAGGCAGAAAACCCTACAGCCTGAACCTCCAGCCATCACGGTGAAAGGCAGATGCGAAGCCACCCCGGGAACCTGACGTGGAGGCACCCTTTCCCGAGGCTCGTCGGGATCAGGGATTGTGCTTTCGAGTGGAGAGTTTCAGACTGGGACATCAGGTTGATGACAGCGTCAGAGAGCAAGGTTTTGGACAGACAGGCTCACCAAACTTTTTGCGCTGATGTAGAGGCGCATGCGACATGGCGCTGTGTTGCATAATTCCACACATATCGTGCATTGCCATGCGAGTTTCAATCCGCAGGACTCCATCCGAAACCCTTGAACTTCGCGATTTCCGCCCAGAATTAGCCCAGGCTTCGCCGGAGGTGGAGCAACCGCCGCCGCCTTTCTTTGCTGGGCCGGCGATGTCTTGGTCCATTGGTGTCACTGTGGTTTCAGACTTCATGGACATTTAATGGGGATTTGTGGCTTCTTGCCGCAGGTGTGCCCAAAATGCAGGAATGCGTATTTGGCAAAGAGGGAGTAGTTTGAAAAAATATTTAGTATGAGTAGTAGTGAAAAGGTTATGGGCAATATCTGTTGTGATGATTCGTGTTTGAGGGGGTTGTAACTTACAGTGAAAGGCTTGTAGGCAATCTTTGGACGATTGTCCTTACTCGAGTTTTTCTTTGTCGTTGAACTGCTTGTTATGTCGCAAAAGCTGAAAGGAAGCGAAGCCTGGAGGTGGGTTTTAGCGAGGAGGTTGTTTCGGGTTAGCTGATCCAGATTTGGAAGATTGTTTCGGCTAATTGATATAGGTGTGTGGGTTTCCAGGACCAACACCGACTGAAGGCATAGATCTTTTTGGGCGAAGTGCAGCAAACGTTCATTTCACGGCGGCGAAGAGCTTCATGAAGTCATTGCCTTCACCGTGAGACCATGGCCGAAACGGATGCGGTTTTGCTATCACATGATTACTATAAAAAGTCTACGTGGCTTTGCAATGGGTTACTGAGGTAGTGTAGTTTATGGCTTAGGTGGGGGACACAAAGGCACGGCTAAGGGCAGCTTCCAGAGGCTTCTTTGCTCCTCGCATCCTCCGGAGCCACATGAATCGCTGACCTGAATGCGACTTTGTTGCCAGGACCAGTGGCTAGCGAGCCTGAAGTTCATTGCTGGGTGGAATGATCAGTCCTGGGCTTGGTGATGTGCGGCAGGGTGCAAGTCCAGCCGAGGGGTGGCATGCATGTCGAGATCCAAGACAGGCCCCCGAACACCGGAAGCCTCGCCAATCCCCAAGCACGAACCTTGTTCAGCCCAGGAAGAAGTACGAGGCCTCTCAGGCTCGTGCAGGGTGTGTGTGTGTGTGTGTGTGTGTGTTTTTGCCATTTCGTGATTCATTGAATTTGCTGAACGTGGTTGGCATCTCTTTTCTTGGCAGCTCGGCAAGGGTTGTCTTGCCAGGTTAAGGAAGCCTTCAGCGAGTATCTTGCTGCGGAGGAGCCTTCGTCGGTGCTCTGTCGTGCTCCGGTGTCGCATGGATGTTTTACAGTCAAGCCGTCATATTCATCAGAACACGGCATCCTCAATGAGGACATCGTCGGCAAGACCACGGTGGAGCAGCTGTGTAGAACGATCGCCATTGGCTAAGCCACGTTCATTTGTCGGTTCTGGCTGTGGCCCCAGTTGCCAACCTACTCAACCAGCCGAGACACCCAAGGTTCCGCTCCTGCTGGACCTGGAGAGGGTTGACACCATGGTCGTTGCGAACCTCAAGACAGAGGCAGCTGCGGATTGTGCCATTGACGGATGATGTGCAGCTTCCGAGTTGTTTTGGCATATTTCATACGAGGATAACGGCATGGTGTCCTGCCAGACAGTTCAAGATTCGGATACCTTGAGAGGTCCTGAAGACGCTGAAGATCGTGCAGGCTCACCGACAGTTTCAGGGCAATCCCCACTTCATGGCTTTGCCAAATTGGCATCAGTTGCGAGGCAGTTGACAGCCTGTCAGGGAACTTCTTTACAACCGCACCAAAAGTATGGAGGTTAGCAAAGGATCACGTGCGTGATAAACGAGAGCTTCTTGGGCGCTGTCTACTTACTGTGGTTTTCTGGCACGAGACTCTTGGACTCATGAGAGTGATGGTGTCAGGTGTGCATCCTGCGCATAGTCACCTTCGAAATGCTGCGGGAAGCTTCGGCAAAGGTGCACAGCATGCTAGCCGTCTCCTGCAAAGCGCAACATTACATTATGGGCAATTTACTGTGTCACCGTGTTTCTGATTCGTTTGGGCTGCTACTTCTCCTTCTCGTGCCTGGACAAGCTTCGAAACAATTCCGCCACGCTCCGAATTTCGATTTTCCGCTCAAGCAGTGTCAAGGATCCTGTACTCGTTCTCTCATCTGTGGCTCTTCGGTCGGAGCGCCCTCCGCAGAGTTTTCAAAACGATCACCGCAAAGCTGCGATCTTGTAGGAATTCTGCCAGGCTGATGCTGTGCAGAAGAAGGGTCCCAAGGGCAAGAAGGCTGGGGAGTTTCGGGTGCTATTTGCGGAGTGCTGAACTTTGCATTTGGGGCCTTTGGGAGGGAGGGTCTCGCTGGTTACATGTGGTGGTTTCGGAACTCCGGTGGTGCTGTCACTTGTCAATGAACCTTGAGGCAATAGGAACATGCAAATGTCCAGCTCCCAACCCAGGTCCAACCTGAAGTGCCTCCAGAGGGTGCCGCGTGCCGCCCCCTAATCAGGGTTTTCAGGAGAGTTTAGGGGGCATCGCAGGATACAAGAGCGGCCGTCACCAGGCCGTGCACAAGCTAGAGTACTATTACATATTGCAGACAAGCTTTAATCGTTCATCGTAGTTTCTGTGGAGATTTATCGCAGAGCCCTTCCGCTGCCTCGCAGTGTGGTGCCCGACTGGTGATTTCAGTTTTAGATGCTCTTGACACTTTGAGGTACCTCGCGAGTGACATCACCTCCCTGGCCAAGGCTGCAGCGTTATTCGTACTGATGTGTCTCGACGTGCAGGGCTTGAGCCACGTTCGCCTCATGCCAAGCCAACCTTCGCCAGGTCATTCAGCACTTTCGCTTTGACCAAAATTTTTCCAAAGGAGTGCGGCGACCTGAGCAGTGTGAGCTCAGAAACAAGCTCATCAGCAGAAAGAGGCGTAGTTGGCAGTTTGCACTCCTAGGCATGAGCTCATCGTCGCTTTCCGGAAGCAAAAGGCGGACAAGCCCCGACAAGAGAAAGGCCGGGGCCTGCGGGAGGAAGCTTTGGCTGTGGCTTTGCTCTTCCTCGTGTTTGTAATTGCCAGAGTCCTGCGGTCTTCTTATTGAGAGGTACCGACAGACTTTCCTTTTTCAGGATGCTCTGCAACAACCATAAGCACCACTGCCAGCATTTCAGAGCTTTTCGACTGTTACCGTGCGAAATGCGTAAGCAGCCACCTCTGCATTCTTGCATGTTACCAACCTACTGCTTGTACTCGTCTCCGCTGCATTGGACAGATGGACGGTGACGCTGGTCTTACGCCCTTGGGCTAGTTTGAAACGT